TTGGCTGCTGTTGAACTCGAGCCTGGGAACAGCGAACAAGGCAGAAGGCTATCCATAACCTGGGCGCAGGAAGGGGACCGGAAGTCAGGAGGCTGTGTTTGTGGAGGAGGGGACGCTGGGCCTCCCTCTTGCAAAGAGTAAGTTGATGTCAGTGAGTGAAGCAAGGGTGAGTCAGCACATTCTAGACTGCGATGTCCCAGGCAGAGGTGTAGGGGAAAGTGCGGCCTGGCCAGTGGCAGAAGGGCAGGAGCTTGCTGCAGAGTGGTGTGAGCAGAGATCTGGCCTCCGGTAGGCAGGGATCGATCATAGGAGGGGTTACGTGCCACTCTAAGGAGGTGATTTACAGAGAAACCTGGGCAGTTGTGCCTTTTTTCAATATTGAGCATTGGTAAAGCAACATGTTTTTAGAAGTCTTAATAGTAAGCAATGTACTGTAGCAGTTTTCAGACTTGCCAGATTAGTTTGCAAAATTGTGGTGACCAAACATGAGGCACATGCACACTTGATTAAACAGAAAAAATTATGTCAATTATTCCTGCAGACAAAGCTCATTTAACTGACGATGAAAGCCAAAAATGAGTTAAATAAATTGTAACAAAACATTACGAATATGTTTTGAAATTATAAGATAACCAGCCAGCCCAGACACTTGAGTATCTGCATTTGGGGTGACCTGTGGCACCTGTGTGCTCCCGCCCTCAGGTGAGCACAGCCAGGTGGCTTCCTGGCTCCCCCCAGAAGGGTGGTGTTTGAAGGCATAGATCCAAAGGCATCACTGTGATTATTTAATATTTTCTGTAAACATGTATCAGAAATAAAATTAGAATCCCAGAGAGGTTTTTTTCAATGATAAACTTTAGAGCAAACGCTCTTAACTTTTATCTTAAAAACAATCGGTATAGAATGTGTCTACCCGCAAAATATTTTCCAGATGATGGTAATTTTGTCATTAAAAAAATCAGCCAGGGCGCCTGGGTGGCTCAGTTGTTTAAGCGACTGCCTTCGGCTCAGGTCATGATCCTGGAGTCCCGGGATCGAGTCCCGCATCGGGCTCCCTGCTCAGCGGGGAGTCTGCTTCTCCCTCTGACCCTCCCCTCTCTCGTATGCTCTCTCTCTCTCTCTCATTCTCGCTCTCTCAAATAAATAAAATCTTTAAAAAACAAAAAAAAAAACAAACCCTTTAGAAAAAAAAAATCAGCCATTTAAATCTTAACATGTTTTGATGTGTACAAAACATGTACACACATAAGTTATGTAAATAGAAGGTCAGTAGGATTTGTCTTGGGTGCAGTATACGTTGTCTGCCCTCCATTTAGGTGAAGAGTGGATATGGGTGTATCTAAATGCTTGTGAAGTATTTTGGGAACATCACAGTAACTTTAAGACACTTCAATTTAACATTGAGAATCTGTATTAACTATGTTAGAAGTACTGTATCTGGACGGGGGTGAGTCACAAAATGGAAAACGGGGGACCTGGAAACCTGAGTTTCAGTTTGAGGTGGGAGGGGCTGGGTTGGGAGAGAGTCCGGGTTGAGGTTGGGTGAACCGGCTTGGGCAAGACCCTGGGCCTAGGCAGAAAGTGGCCAGAGCCCTGGAGGGTTCTGCCAGCAGGAGGTGGGCTGGGTGGAGGGGGCGGGGAGGTCCGACCTCGCATCAGTTCAAATCAGATTGTGTTCTGCTTGAAGTTCCTTTTAGACATACACCTGCTTACATTTTGCTGTCATTTAAGAACATGACTAAGGAGAATTGCGGCCTGTTTTGATGGTAATTGTTTGGACCCAGCAGCAGTTTTGCCCTGTGCCCCACACTCTTCCTCTTCCGCTGGGCCAGCCCCGGGGAGGCCTGAGCTCTGAACACTTCCCCATTTTCACACCAAGCTCCGCCCCCCCCCCCCGCCCCCGGCGGCCTGCTGCCTGTCGCTGGTGCAGGGCAGCGTTCACAGGGTAGCAGAAGGCCTTTGGCTCCCCATATTCTCCCACCTTGCTAGATTATGCCAGCAGAGCAGAATGTAACCACAGCCCGGCCGGACTTGCAGGCTGGGTAGACGCAGCAGCGTTGCAGGTTGCAGGGGCTATTCTCTGTGCCGCTGCGACTCGACACTTGGGAATTTTATTTTATTATTATTTTAGAGATTTTATTTATTTGAGAGAGAGAGCGAGCATGAGCGGGGGAGGAGGCAGAAGGAGAGGGAGAAGCAGGCTCCCCGCGGAGCAGGGAGCCCGATGCAGGGCTCAATCCCAGGACCCCGGGATCATGACCTGAGCCGAAGGCAGACGCCCAACAACTGAGCCACCCAGGCGCCCCCTGACACGCAGTATTTTTAAATGGGCTCCTGGGCACCTGCTGAAGCTTACTTGCTCACCTCCGCAAAGAGGGGAGTGGGTGGTGTCCAAGCAGAGGAGAAGACACCTGACTGGTGTGGGGTGGGACCCTGGGCCGCGCCCGGCTCTCACCTCCACGGGGCTGGTGAGCAGAGCCTGAGCGTGCAGGTCCCCTTTGCTGGGAGGGGAGGCGACCCGAGCCCTCCTGTCCTCAGGGAGGGCACACCAGCGTTTAGAGGAGGGGACACGCTCTTCAGCAGCTAGTCCTACAGCCACCACAAGGACAGCCGCTGGGAACCTAAGCTGCTGGGAGGAAGGGTCAGAGCTGAGCCCGGTATGCTGAGTGGGCCAAGGAGTACCAGCCCTCCTGGGTCGTGAGACCACTCTGTCAGAGCAGTCACTTTGGGCCCTAGTCATGGCCGCATGGAGGGGAATTTTCTAGAGGCAAGCCATCGGTCTGATCGGGACCGAGGGCTCGGGTAGAGCTGGCATGTTTCCTGACTGGTTCTGGGAGCCTTTCATGGTGAACGGCAGCTGCTGGTGGGGAGGCCAGGTCCTGTGGGACGCTGAGGGTGCTAGCAAAAGGCAAATGTCACAATGGGGAGGGACCTCACACTAGAGTGTGCCTTCCACACTGGCCCTGGGCCTCACCTGCTACCTTTCAGTCCCCCCCGAAGGTCCCGGGCGAGGCTGTCCTGTGTGGGATGCAGTTTCCTATGGTCCTTTTCTTCAAAGCAGTCTGCCTCCTGCTTGTACTGGGCCTGAGGCTGCAGCGACGCTGCCGGGGTCCGGTTCTGGACTGCTGGGAGGGCCGCAGAGGGCACGGTGGCCATCCCCGCCTGCGAGCTCAACGTATGGGCCTGTGATGATGGTGCGTGCCAGCAGCAGGCTGCTCTCGGGGACCTTCGGGGTACTTCTCAGCCTCCTGTGAGCTGCCCGTCCTGTCCCAGCCATCTGTCAGCCTCCTCCTCGGACACCACAGCTTCTTTCAGGCAGCCCTCCCTGTTCAGTCGAGGGGAGCAAGGCTCCGGGAGGTGGTGGACCCGCCTCGGCATCCTCCCTGGCGCAGGTGCCCGCCAGAGTGCCTGGTCCCCATCGTCCGCCTGTCTCCCTTGCAGCATATCCCCACCTCAGCATTCTGCTGGTTTCTGCCAGGAAACAAGGAAGGTGTCAGTGTCCACATTACCCGGGCATGGAACTTCTTAGGTGTCTGATTTCACCAGGAAGAAGAGGTTGTGGAGCCCCGGTGGGGGGCCCGTGAGGTCTGTGATGGAGGATCTGAGAACATGCTCGGGGGGGGGGGGGGGGGGAGTAGTTCCAGAGGCAGGGGCTTGGTTTCAGCCCTGCTCTTCTAGACTCCCACGCTCGCATGTCTCGCTGTCCTCAGGACTGTCTGGGAGCTGCCCTCAGCCGTGTTTGTGACTTGAAGTCCATCCTGTGGGGGCATGGGCCCCGCCAGCCAGTGCCAGGCACCTGAGCGTCTCCGTGTGCGCCTTCCGGGTGAAGGGCTGGGTGCTCGCTGGGGGCCCGTGTTCTCTCGGGGCAGGTGTGGCATGTATGTGGGAGCTTTCTGGTCCAGAAATCAAGGGTTGTGCTTCTCGCCTCCCAGGGAGGCTGACTTCCGGGAGTGGGCTATGACCTACACAGTGTGGACGTCCGGCCGGCCAGCTTTTACGGTCCCCTGTTTACTGAGAGCACATGGACGCCCAGAGAACTTTGTTTTGATCGTGTCATTGAGCTATTGGGTTGTCCTCCCAGTGTTTTAAACTCCGTGCCCACTGAAAGCTTGACAGCACTATGGCCCCAGTGACGCAGGGAGGGAGGCTCGTGTGTGGAGCAGCCCACGTACCCGGGGCTGAGCTGTGTGCACGTGTCTTCTTGTTGAATCTTCAGAGGGCTCACCTCTGTCAGCGTGTCCTCGGCCTCCGGCTGCAGAGCCCACGCGGCTCTCTGGTGCTCAGTGGGGCCTGGCCCCATCTCCTGGGGCTGGAGGCTGCTTGCACCCACTGTGTGCTGGAAAGGCTGCTGGGGTCTGGGCCGTGGGGCCGCCGCCTAGTGGGAGGCATGCTGCTCTCCTTCTCTCCCCAAGGATTTGCTGAGGGCCTTCTGCGGCAGGCGGTGGAAATGCCCCAACAGACGGGTTGAGATGGTGATTGGCGCCATGGCGGGAACGTCTGAATGATGAAGGGAGCCACCCCTGCAAAGATTGGTGGGGGGGCTTCCATGCAGACACCGGGGTCCGTGAGCCTAGGAACAGAAGGTCGGGGGTGGGGTCGCTGGAGCCTCGAAAGGGGCGAGAAAGGGGGTCTGCTATGGGGCCGGCCCCGCCAGCTCGTGGACCTCGTAGGCCGGGGGTTGGGAGCTGTGGCAGCTGGTGAGTCCAGGACATCCACTCATTTAGGGTTTTGGAAGGCTGCTGGCTGCTAACTGGTGGGTGGTGGGAAGACATGGGGAAGCAGGGGACAGTTGGAGAGGTCTGTTCTGTTGCACTCCTGTGGAAGTGCAGCCCTTTGAGGGCACGAAGGAGCTGGAGGCACTGGGAGACAGAGGGCGGGGTGGGGTGAGGGGTCTGGGCAGGAGGCCCTGGGGGGCGCAGTGGTGGGGGGACGCAGAGCTGAGCTCTGGGGCCCGTGGGGTGGGAGGGGACTCTTGGCCTTCCACCAGCATGATTGGGTGGATGGTGGCCTTTTTCCTGAGTTGGGGGACCCCCGAGGGGGACTAGATTTGGAGCCACGAATCAGGGTATAGATTCTGCACATGTTGAATTTGAAGAATCTTTATCCACCTCCGAGGCCAGGGTCCTCTTGGTGGGCGGGCAGCTGTTGGCTTCTGGAAGCCGTGTAGCTCTGAGAGGTGGCCACAGATTGCAACTGTCCTGACCCAGGAGCTTAGGCCTGGCTGCGGGATTAGCTGCATTTCATGCACTTCGGGAAGCTTCTAGAATCTTAGGCCAAGCGCCTTGTGATTTCTTGTACCGATAAGGTAACATGGCTGTGCCATCACGAAGATGCTTGCTTGTTGCAGTGTGTACTTTAGAGCTGTGAGGTGGGTGGTTGTGCTGGTGGTTGGGGCGAGAGCAGCTGGTGCTCCAGCTGGCAGGGGGCTGTGCTCCTGAGGCGCTTCCGGGAAGGAAAGGGCCCACAGCAGCTGGGCACCAGGGCAGTGGGAGGTTCGCGCCCCTGGCTTTCCAGAGGCTCAGTGACCCGCCAAGTGCATCCAGGTGGGCTGTTGAGTCTCCTCCTCCTTTAAAATAGGACCAGTACCCCCAGCACGGAGGCGTTGGGAGCCCCCAGTGCGGGGCTGGTGGGCGCTGTGCACCTTTATTCCCTGGAAACAGCCCAGCTTCAGAGCCAGTGCAGGGGCTGGGGAGTGCTTGTTTTACCAGAAGAAAGACAATGCAGAACCCCGAGGTGAGTCTCCTCTGAGGATGTGTGACGGGGCAGGAATTCAGTGCCCCCCAGTAAGTTTGAAGGACACCATTTCCAAACTGCTGCCTCTGTTCAGAATAGCGCGTTGTGACGTGGCACAGTGAGCCCCAGAGAACCCCTCGGGCAAACTTCTTTATCATCCACCCACAGGGAGCATGAACTGACCACTTTCCTCTCCGTCCCTGACCTCGAGGGGACCCGCACCCCCCACAGCCCGCCCAGGTGGGGGCTGCACCCTCTGGGTACCCGAGCCCACTCTTTAGCGCTGTGGTGAAGGAGCACACGTGGGGAGCACAGCCTGGGTGCTGGGGACGCCCCTGAGAGCAGCCTGGTTGGCGGTGGGCTTCTGGACCTCTGGGAAGGGCTTGTGTGCACACACGTGGGGCTTGTTCATCCTCACCTGAAAACGCCAGTTGCTGCTCCCTGCCCTTCATTGCACTCCCTACCTTCCCGTGGCTCTGGGGTTCTAGAACATTCCGTGCAGGTGGAGGAGTGCCTGCCCCCCTCTGCCCAGTGTAGGCCCTCCCTGAGCAGGGGTCCCTTTCCTCCCTGGGGCCGTTGCTCTTGAGCCGGTGGCTTCGGCTCAGTGCTGCAGGCCCGGTGGTCGTGTCTGGGGGTGCCCGTGGCCCTTGCCAGGGTTGCCCCCAGGGCTCGTTGATGTATGTTCATCAGAGGTCACGCAGGGCTGGTGGGCCTGTCCGCCGGAGAGCTAGTTCTCATGAGTTAAGCGTTATCATGGAATTCTTGTCTGAGAATACAAACCTATCTTGATGTGGAAGGCTTTGTCTATTGAAAAAAAGAATGTACGTTCCTATTCCCGGTTCAGATCTTTTGTTAAACATTTGTAGGCCACTTTCCCAGTCCCCTGGCTCCCCTCCCCCAACAAGGACCAGTTTATCAAAAAAGCCGTCACATTGAATGGGAGCTGCCGCGCGTGAGCAGCATGGTCACCGATGCCCGTGACCTCGCACGGCCCTCCGACGATGCTGACACACTGAGCATTTCCTGTGAACGGGGAGCCTTCCTGGTCCCACCATTGTTGTTCAGCTTCTGCCTGGGAGAAAACAAAAATCATTTACTACGGGCAGCATGCTGTTTGTTGAGAGCTGTGCTGGGAAATGCGCTGTCGGAGGTGTCCCAGCCGCAGCCTCGCGGCAGTGGGGAGACCGGGCTCGCTCGCCCCTGGGGCTGCCTGGGGGACGTGATGGGAAGTGCTGATGCTTCTTGTCAACCTGCTGGACAAAGAAAGCCGTTGTCCCTTGCCACTTCCGCCGTGCCCAGCTCGCCCCCCACCCCCGCCATCCCCCTCCCGGGGGCTCCCTGCTGGGCCCCAGGTGCCATGACCTGGGGTTCACTTTTGGGAGGACTGGGGAGAACACCACGGAGCTGGCCCTGCTGTGGGTCCTCTCTGCTCCTCCCATGCTCTCCTGCTTTCCTTGGCCTCTGCTCTGTGGGCCCCTCTGTGGGCGCTTTTCTCAATGGGTGGACACTTTGGGGTGTCCAGCTGGAGGGGACACATGGGGACAGGAAGCCTGGGAGCTGCCAGGCCTGGTGAGTCTCCTCTGAGGATGTGTGGCGGGGCAGGATCCAGCCCACCCTTCCCACCCCAAGTGTTCGGGCAGAGGCTTCTGAGCACAGAGGGTTGCAGCTGTGGCGTGTCTTGAGGAGATCACCCTGGATATTGGGCAGGGAGGGGGATGAGTTAGTGGCGGTCACAGAGAAGGTGGGAGGCCTGACGGGTTGGCAGCACAGGAAGGGGGGGCAGAGCTGTGCTGGGGGGTGTGGGGAGCTCCAGGTGGACAGGGAGGCTGGGGTGGGGGGTTCACATGCAGAGCATGAGGGCCACCCCATTGGGAAGAGAGCCCTGCTGGAGTGAGGAGCCAGGCACGGCCGGGTGCTGGGGATCCGGGGTGGGGCTGCAGGCACTGCTGCCCAGCGGCCCCTCCATCCAGCACGTGGTTTTGGTGCCCGCGGTATGCCAGGCATGATGCCAGCACTCTGCCCTTATGGGGCTTGGGCTGAGTGGAGCACACGAGGACCAGCTCTGTTGGCAACAGTGGTGGCCCGCGAGAGGGCAGACCTGGAGGGCTGTGGGGTAGGCCAGACCGCCGTCGGTGGAGGGGTGAATGCAAGGTAGGGGCGGGGAGAAGCTTGTTTGGGGGATTGGCGCTGTAGGAAGGGGACGCACCTGAGCCCACCACATAGTGCGTTTTATCTGGGCTGGGCAAGAGAGGGGCTGGCAACGTGCGGGTCCCAGGCGCTCTGGAGAACCGGGTGGCTCACCCCCAGCCTGTTGTCTCTCAGGGAATAGAGCCTCCAGGGCACGTGTCGTGCTCCGTGTCTTGACCTCCGCTTTGCCAAGGCCAGCCGGCGCTCTGTGCGACTACCCAGGCTTGGGGTGAATTGCTGACCCCTGTCCGCGTGGCTGGTTTCCTCATGTGTTTCTAAGATTGGGGTTTGAATCACATGACTGTTCGGTTTTGGTCATGTGCCTGTTCTCAGAAAGGAGTGACAGCTTCCCAGTATTTGTCTCCCCTCGTCCGGGTGCTGCGGGCCAGAGGCCATCTGGGCATCTCCGGGATGTAGCCTGAGCGGGGCTCCCACAAGCACCCCCCCCCCTCCGCCGTGGCCCAGTGCTCCTGCTCGGCAAGGCCACCTTGAGCAAGCCTAGCACAGGAAGCAGCCGTTAGGGCGGGCCGGCGTGTGGCACGGGCCTGGCACAGCAGCAGCCCTTTGCGCAGGGCACCCAGGTACACGCACACCACCTCCCCAGCTCACGGACCCATCAGCTGGCGCTGGACTGGAGCGCGAGCCACAGTGTGAGCACACCTTTGGGCTCAGTCGCCACCACCATGCATTTTCTGGGCATCCGTCGGGCACGGGGAGCTGTCCGGGGCAGGGCCAGGCTTCTGCCCTTGCTGCCAGCCCTCTCATGGGGGGACAGGAAGCCCTGTTTTCCAGAGGGCCCCTTTGGTGGGGCAGCTTCCTTCCCTGGGGAACTGCTGGCCGTTGCTGAAGGACACCCTTTGGTTCGGTCAGTAGCTACTGAGCACCTGCTGGAGCTATGGCAGGGCACAGAGCACACCTCGTCCCTTTCTTCACGGAGCTTGTGATGCAGCGAAGCAGCCCGGAAGAGGTGGTGGGAGTACGGGCTGCAGTGAAGGCGATACTTTGGGCCTCACGGAGCTTTGCGAGGATTGAATGGAATGATCCCTCAGCATTATTCATTTTGAAAACCACGCAGAAGCTAGGCACAGCAGCTCCCACCAGAAGAACTTTTCTGCCGTTCACACAAAGTGAGGGCCGAATGTAAAAGCAGCTCCTTGAAGCCGCTGGAGAACATCGGAAACCAGAAGAAGGGAGCAGTGCTGGGCAAGTTCGCGTCATTTTACGGCCTTCAGCCTGAAGATAGGCAGCTACGACGCTGGATACGTGCTGTTACTGGAAGGACTCAAGCACAAAGTTTGGGGCAGAGTTTGAGCCAGGGAAACTCCAAATCCTGCAACGTCTCTGCTCATTTTTCTGCCTGTTTTTTGGTTTTTTTTTTAAGATTTTATTTATCTGCTTTTTAAAAGTTTTTAATTTTCTTAAAGATTTTATTTATATGAGATAAGGAGAGCAAGCGAGCGAGAGCACAAGCAGGGGGAGTGGCAGGCAGAGGGAGAAGCAGGCTCCTCACTGAGCAGGGAGCCTGATGTACGGGGCTCAGTCCCAGGACCCTGAGATCATGACCTGAGTCGGAGGCAGACATCCAACCGACTGAGCCACCCAGGCGCTCCTTTGGCTGGTTTTTGAAATGGTGGATTTATGGGCCAGAGTTTAAGCAGCTCAGCTAAAAAGAAAAATGGGACAGATTTCTTCTGGCTCCTGTTGCGGGGGAGAGTTTTGAGTTTGAGTCTAGCCAAGTTACGTGTTAAAATGAGAATATCCACAGCCTTCAGAGGAATATAGCAGAATGTAGCGTCTCTGCAACATATCATTTATACTGTGTAGGGTACAGCTTAGTATTATTAGAGGTAAAATACAGGGAAGACGAAAATGTGACCCTTAGTCCAGAGAAAAGGCAGCAGTGGAGACTCACCCCAAGGTGATGACTCGTTGGAATCCTCAGGTGTGTTTAAGGTGCTCAAGGACGTAAAGGAAAACATGCTCATAGTGGGAAGCAGTAGATCTCAACAGAGAGAAACTATTGAAGAAGAACCAAATGGAAATTCAGGAACTGAAAAATGTAATATCTGGGAAAAGTAGGGGAGTTGGGGGATGATGGGAGAAAGACCGAAGGCTTGGTTGGCAGAAATGACTGAAGGACAGAGAGGACAAAGGTGGAGACCAGAAGGGGCAGGGCCTCGGGACGCCGGGACGCAGTGTCAGCAGGCCTGACGCACCTGCGATTGGGCCCCAGGGGAGAGGAGCTAGAGGAGGGGGCATGAAAAGTTTGTGCAGTACTAACTGAAGATTTCCCACGTGTGCTGAAGGACGTGTGTGTACGGATTCATGGAGCTCAGTGGAGTCCAAGCAGGAGAAAGAAAAAGAAAACTTTGCTTCGGCTCATCATCGTCAGAGTGCTAAAAATCAACAGGAAGGAGAAACTCTTGAAAGCACCCGGAGGAAAGGAAGACATTTCACATCCCCAGTCACATGGAATGTCACAGCCTCCTCTGCAGAAACGGGAATGACAGCCTCAACATGGAGGGCGGTGTGGGAGGAGTTAACCCAGAATTCTTTATCCAGCAAAAATATCCCGTAGAATAGAAGTGAAAGAGATTTTAGGTAAAATACAAGAGCATTTATAAGAGCAAATACATCAGCAGCTTGCTGTAAGAAATGCTGAGGAGACTAAAGACAGTCCTTCAGGCGGAAGGGATGTGTTACCATGTGAACACTTGGTCTTCAGGAAGGAAGGAAGAAGTGGTGAAATGGGAGGTAAAAATAAAGAGTTTTCCTTTTAATTCCCTTAAATCTGACTGTTTACAGCACAGAACGGGGTTTATGCTGTCTGTAGATGGGATGCATGTACCACATGTAGCATGAAGAGACTCGGGCGCAAAGACACAGACGTTGGTGAGGTTCTTTCTTACGTGCTGAGCTTCTCATCCACTAGACTGAAAAGTTGGTGTGTAATGAAATCTCCAGAGCAACCACTTACAAAATGATGCTGAAAAGCCAATACATAAATTAAAATGGAATGCAAGGCAGTATTCCGTTAACTTGGCCCAAAGCAGGCAGGAACAAGAGGTGCAGAGACAGTGAGTAGCAACGTGGCACGTAAGGAATTCTCTCAGCCACGTAAGGAATTGCGCTACGTGGAAGTGGACGAAACAGGCCAGAGAGCAGGGGTGAAGAAGAGCCATTGTTGTGCTGAGAGCGACACCCACTCTCAGAATATGACACAGTGGCTTGAGAATGGATGGGTCGAGATCTGCCGGGCAGGTAGGAAGCCCGAGTTCGTGGGGACAAGCATACCCGCCTCAGACAAAGTGGACGTCCAGTAGAGACGGGCATTGCCAGCGAGAAAGGGGGCAGCTCACGGGATGAAAAGGTCAGTGATGAGCCACAACCGCTGGGAGTGCGCGTGCTCCTGACAGTCAGGGCTCGGGGGGGACATAAGGCAAAGATGAGCAGAATTCCAGATTTCGCTGCCATGCCCCCAGGGCAGGCCCAGCGGGTCCCGGGCAGGTTGTGGGTGCTGATCCCCCGGCACCTGGACCAGCAGTGTGTGCATTGCCTGAGCCAGGAGTCACGAAGACGTGATGCCAGCAGGGAGTGCTTGTGGCCAAGGAGGGTGCGGGCGGGGGTGCGTGGCAGTTGGGTGAGACTGGCGTCTCACTGGAGAGCGTGGGTTTGTCGGGAACCCGGCGTCTTGGGAGGGTTTGGTATCACCGGGGTAGGTGGATGCAGGCCTGGCAGGTGAGGGTGTTCCAGGGATGGAGGGGGCCAGCCACAGCCACGGGCCGGACCAGAGGGGGGTTCATGGGCTGGCCTCTGCAGCCCGAGGATGGGTTAACAGAGGGTCGGTGGTTGGGGTCTTCTCACTGGCCAGTCAGTGTTTATGAGTAAAGTTGTGCCATATTAAAAACCCCAACAAAAGTAAGAGTCCATGTACCCAGGGGTAAGAGCGCTCCGCGTCGTACACGTGGAGTAGTTTCGCTCGCAGTCCTTCCTGGGGCAGCGTGGGCCCGGCCTGGGCGGTTGCTGCTGCCCCCTCTGCCTGCCCTTGCCGAGGAGAGGCGAGGCCCCAGGCCTGCGGCAGAAGCCATGGCACGTCGCGGGACATGTCCCTCAGCAGGTGGCACGGTGCTGGGACATCAGTAGGAGGACGGGTCTGCCTGGTGTAGAGGCCGAAGAGACGCCTTGACCTGTGGATGGCGTGCGTGGGTGTGTTAGTGGAGGGTGCGTCCCTCTGCTGACGAGTGCGGCTCCCAGTGGTGCACCCCAGCACCCCGTTCCCCAGTGCCCGTGGCGGCGCGGCACGCTGACCGGGGGATCGCTGGCAGGCCGGAGCGCTGTCCTTGTCTGAGTAAACGTTTCATTGAGGTAGGACACAGGTGCACGGTGGCAGCCTGTGGCAGGGAGACGGGTCCCCAGTGACCCCCATCCAGGTCAAGAAGATGATTACACACCAGCCCCGAAGCCCCCACCCCTCCTAAGGGCCACCGCCACCCTGGCATCTGCCAGTAGAGCCCCCGTTAGCCACTTGGACTTCATGTAAACGGACCGCACGTTGTGAGCCGTTCCGTGCCCGGCACGTGTGGGGTCCGGCTTGTGCGTGGCTGCAGCCTGTCCCCCCAGCTGAGTGTAGCACTCTGGTGTGTGGAGTGTGCCGATCACCTGGTGACGGGCACGGGGTTTGTGCGATAGGGTGGCAGCAGGTAGTGTGAGGGGGTCCTACCTTCTCACTGTGTGACCCAGCGCAGGTTACCTAACCTCTCTGAGCTTCAGATTCCCCACCTGGACAATGGGCACAATAACCCCTACCTCCCAGGGCAGTTAGGAGGGTCAGAGCAGAGTGGATATCTGGTGCCAGGTGAAACACCTTGGCTCCAGCTGAACACCAACCCAGGCCTCCCCTCTCGTTGGCCCCTTAGGAGCCACTCAGAAGCCCACCGTGGGGGTCAGGGAGCATGTCAGTGTCTGTGCGGCCCCTCAGCAGGACTCCTGTGATGGATTTTGGGCAGTGAGGCCCAGAATGGCCCAGAATAGCAGCGGGGGGAGGGGGCGGTCCTCACTCCTACCCCAGTTCTGGGCTGATGGGGGTGCGATGCCTGGTGCCAGTGAGGTGGCATTGAGCAGCCGGAGACGTGGGGCCCTGGTCAGCATTAGCGGCACCGCAGGTGCCTGGTCTCTGTGTGTGCGTGGCCGGTCCAGGCTCTGCTGGGTCTAGCAAGTGCCGCTTGTCACACTTAGTGCCCGGCTGTCGGGGATGCCTGCTCCGAGGCCCAGGTGCTGGCCTCCAGCCCCCTGATGCTTCTCGGTTGGGCTTTGGTGGGTCTCAAATCTTCCAGCTTCAAAGGTAGGTCCTGGACCCCACGGCGCCTCTCCTGGCCCCGGGTGTAGGTGTGCACGTGTGTCTGCGCGTGCTCGCCCCCGTGACAGCTCGCCACGTGTCTGCCACAGGCCTTCCGGAGCAGTACTACAGCCTCACCTGGTTCCTGAGCCCCATCCTCGGCCTCATCTTCACGCCCATCATCGGCTCCGCCAGTGACCGCTGCACCCTGAGCTGGGGCCGCCGGCGGCCCTTCATCCTTGCCCTGTGCGTCGGCGTGCTCTTCGGCGTGGCACTCTTCCTTAACGGCTCTGCCATCGGTAAGTGTCCCTCCGCCACGGCCTGGCGGACGGGCTGTGCTCTCGGCGCCGTAGGTCAGCCTGGCCGGCCGTGGGCTGGCGCGGGCCTTCCGGGCTCTCCTGGCAGGGCTGGGGCCGGGCCCCACGTGGGAACGCCGTGGGGACCCGTTCGCAGGGAAGCACTTCCTGTTGTGACCCGCTTGTGTCCCCTGCGTATCTGACAGCGCGTCCTGTTTCCAGAGTTTCAGAAATTCCCCCTTCTCTTTTCTCCTTTTCTCAGACTTGGTATTGAAAGTGGCCAGACCCAAGCCCATACTTGTTTTTTTGTCTCGTGTACTCATGGTTGGTTCTGCCTTTGTTGTTGTTTTGTTTTGTAATTAAAGCCAGTCTGTGTGGGAAAATAGTTTTTGCCCTGAGGGAGCCCATCAAAACTGTTCAAAACAAGACCTTGTTTTCGGGCAGTGACTTTTTAAGACCGAGGCTTCATCTGTGTTCTGACGTATACCAGCAGACCCCAAGTCTGCGTCAAGTGAGGTGGAAGCGGTGACATTGGATCACTCACGGAGAGGCCCCAGAAACCCTTGGTTTCTCAGGGGCCTGTGTGGGGCCGGACTGGGGCCCGGGAAGGCCGCTGCAGCCGGCTGGCCAGAAGTCTGGAGGGGGCCGCTTTCCGGGAACTGTGGGCACGGGGCTGCTGGTGCTCTCAGCCTGTCCCCTTCAGCCGATGGAGCAGGTGTCCCTTGCCAGCACTTTGACCCAGAGAGAAAGCATGGCGTTCTCCGAGGCTGTGTCTGTGGGGCTGGCATGGCAGTGACGTGGGGGCTCTGGCCTCCGCCTGGCACCCTGTCTAACTGTGTTCACGCTTCTCCTGGGCTTCTCCCCTGCACCTCCCATGCTGCAGCTAACCTGCCCCGGGGCCCAGGTTCTCTACCCACGGCCCCTCCACATCCATGGGTACAGGATGCCAGCCGGCCTCATGGACCCAGCTGTAGCTTGGCCACTGGGGTACCAGTTTGGTCTCTGGGTTCATGGCAGGTGAGACGTGGCATGTGATTGCTGCTTCCTTTGGGTGCTTACAACCTGCTGAGGGAGGAATTGTTCTAGAAGTGGGGCCATTCCCGTCGCTCCTCAGAGCCGCACCTTTCTGGAACGTGGGCTGCTCCAAGAATGCACTTGACGACCCCGGGGCAGATCATGAGCACTTCTGTGGGCTGGGGTGGTCTGTCACCTGAGGTCTGGGTGTGGCCCTCTGCACAGCTGGCCTGTGTTTCTGGCTTGGTGCCTTGGGTACGGTCTGAGTACGACGTGTCATCAGTGCCGGCCTTGGAAGGTTTGTTCTTCTTGGAAAATAAACACATGCTCACCACGCAGCATCAGTGAGACAAACTCAAGCAGTCTTCCGTTGGAAGGTGTGAAACTACAGTGGATGACCAGGGAGACCCATCACGTGTTCAGTGAGCGCCGAAGGAGCACCCCCGCAGGCCCTGGCCCGGGAGCTGACCTCGAACCCCGGTGGGGTGCGTGTGACTGAGTGTGTCACACATCACCTTTCCTCACACTGATGTTCACTTAGTGCTCCGAACACGGTCCTCCTTCCCCAGTGAGGGTTGGGGAGGAAGGATCGTTTTCCCTTTTAAGTTACAAAATGCGAAGGTAAGTAAGCTTTGAGGTTCACCGAACAGTTAATGTGACTGGGGAGCAGAAATAACCCTGCAAACAACAGAAATGGAAAAAACAGGGCCTGTCTTCTGTACTGAACGTCTGTGCCCAGGAACACGCCCCTTTCAGGCGTTGGCAAGAGCGCCCCCATCCCCCTGTAGGTGGCTGTCTGGTCTTGGGAGCTGAGATCTGACTGCCCCTGTATGTTTGGTCAGGTCTGTCCCTTGGCGATGTCCCCAACCGGCAGCCCATTGGCATCGTCCTCACGGTGCTGGGGGTGGTCGTCCTGGATTTCAGCGCCGACGCGACCGAGGGCCCCATCCGGGCCTACCTGCTGGACGTGGTGGACAGTGAAGAGCAGAACATGGCCCTTAACACCCATGCCTTCTCCGCCGGTGAGCGCGCGCCCCCTTAACACCCACGCCTTCTCCACCGGTGAGCGCGCCCAGCTGGCCCCAGGCCGGCCGGTGCGCCGAGGCTGTTCCCAAGGCCCTCCTCCCCAAGGCCGTCGGGCGGCACTGGGCGGCGCTGGCCAGCAAGGCGGTGAGCAGGCCACTGCTAAGCTCTCCCTGCACTCGGGCACTGCTCACATCCGTTGGGAACAGCAGCTTCCTGAGCTTAAGGGATGGCGGTCAGTGCTGCCCAGAGTCCCGGGCAGCCATCTGTTTCCTATCCTGGCAGATAGCTGCTCCTGATTCCTTAGGCAGGAGTCTGTTAAGCCAGAACTCCAAACCTAGGGTCAGCTGTAGTTTCTCAGCTTGTTTTTCCTACCATTTACTCATTTTCCATCCCCAAAACTTGTCCTGACTCAGGACGTAGCTATGAATGTTGGCTCGGGTCGTGATTAAGGGTAAGGGCCCTTCGAGATCTTTTCCTAACTTCCCCCCTCCCCCCCCCCTCACCTCCTGGGAGGGAGTGTCGAGCCGCCCGACATGGCTCACAGGCTCCGTCTGTCTCCACCACCCACTCAGGCCTCGGCGGGGCCGTCGGCTACGTGCTGGGGGGGCTGGACTGGACGCAGACCTTCCTGGGCGCCTGGCTCCGGACACAGAACCAGGTGCTCTTCTTCTTCGCGGCCATCATCTTCGTGGTGTCGGTGGCCCTGCACCTGCTCAGCATCGAGGAGGAGCAGTACAGCCCCCAGCAGGAGCGGGGCGGGGAGGGGGCCGACGCCCTGCCCCCCACTGCCCGTGTGAATGTTCTGGACGGCGGCGTGGCCCTGTTCCCCGAGGAGGTGCAGTCGGAGCACGAGCTCACGCTGGACTACCTGAGCGTGGACATGGTGCGCAGCAAGAGCGACTCGGTGCTGCATGTGCCGGACGCCGCCCTGGACCTGGAGCCCGAGCTGCCCTTCCTGCCCGACATCGAGCCCTCCATCTTCCACGACGGCTCTTACCCCGGCACCCCCCGCAGCACCAGCCAGGAGCTCGCCAGAGCCAGGCCACCGCCCCGCCTGGCCTCACTGCTCAGGGAAACGGCGAAAGAGGACGAGACGCTGCTCGATAATCACTTGAATGAAGCCAAAGTCCCCAACGGCAGCGGCTCCCCCCCAAAAGACGGCCCCGTGGGCTACACGAGGGTGGACGTGAAGCCCCCCGCCGCGTCCGGCTCCATGAGGCGGCGCAGGCACATGTTCCGGCGGCAGGCCTCCAGCACCTTCTCCTACTATGGCAAGATCGGCTCCCACCGCTACCGGTACCGGCGGGCCAACGCTGTGGTGCTCATCAAGCCCTCGCGCAGCATGAGCGACCTGTACGACCTGCAGAAGCGGCAGCGACAGCGCTGCCGGCACCGGAACCAGAGCGGGGCCACCACCTCGAGCGGCGACACGGAGAGCGAGGAGGGCGAGGGCGAGACCACCGTGCGGCTGCTCTGGCTGTCCATGCTGAAGATGCCCAGGGAGCTGATGCGTCTCTGCCTCTGCCACCTGCTCACCTGGTTCTCTGTCATCGCCGAGGCGGTCTTCTACACCGACTTCATGGGCCAGGTCATCTTCGAAGGGGACCCCAAGGTGAGCGCCCGGGCGCGTGTGCCCGCGGCCGCAGCCTAGCGCGCTGCGTCCGAGAGGCTGCTCCCGAGGGGGTGCAGGGGGGGCAGGCGGCTAGCGTGCGCCCCTGTTGCTGTGCTCGGAAGGTCCACAGAGAGTAGCTGGGGACGCCGGGGGCTCCACGAGGCAGGAGCAGCTGGGAGAGGCTTGAGGGGGGCACTGCCGCAGCGCCCCACTGCTGTGCACCGGCCTGCCCCAGAGCTCAGCGGCTCCACGGAGGGCCCCTCTGCGCCGCGGCCTGGCCCGGCCGGGACCTGGTTCTGTTCCCCGTGCCATTAGCTGGCTCACGACCTGTGGCAGCGTTGCTCGACATTGGGCCAGATGGCCTCAGCCCAGGCTCTGGCCTCCCTCCCCTCCGGCTCCGGCACAGGACAGGGGCGAGGCTGGGAGGGGTTAACACCACGTGCTTGGGTCCCAGCCGGGACTGTGGCTGAGTCTCCTGTCAGTCAGTGTAGCATTCATCACTGTTTGTAAAATGAAGAGCTTGCTTGCAGTTGAGATGTAAAGTCACTTTCTTTGCCCAAAGGGTGTGGCACGTGATCCCTGCCCCCCTGAACCCCAGTCTCATTTCCGGAACAGGCCCCCTCTAACTCGACCGCCTGGCAGGCCTACAATGCTGGCGTGAAGATGGGCTGCTGGGGCCTGGTGATTTACGCGGCCACCGGTGCAATTTGTTCAGGTAAGCGATCCTCAAGGTGGAGAAGTATTGCTCCCCGGGAGATGCCCAGTGATGGGAAATAGGGCCAAGGTCATCCTGCTCGGAAGGCGGGCCTGACTTTGAGCAGGACTGTTGTTCAGGGGGCAGACGCATGGAAACTTGTGTGTCTAGAATTGGGCATCCTGAGACCTCTGTGGTTCCTGCCCGGGGGCTCCTCAGAGAGGGGCTCTGCTGGAGATGGGGTCGGGAATGGGGGAACTCCAGGAACCATGCCCACAATCCTGGGAGAAGGGTCTTTTGCATCTTAGCCAGGAGGGCAAGGAGAGGTGGTGCCGGCATCCCAAGGCCTGCATGAGGGCATGAGGTGTGTTTGCAGCCGTCAGGGTGGCTGTGGGAGCAGTTTGCCGTGGGGGAGAGGCCTTTCCCTGGAGGTGCAGGTTATCCTTGAGGATGGGGGTCGGGGTGGCATGCTTAGGCACACCTTCCAGAAATGGGGCACAGTCAGGGTCCGGGATCTCTTTAAACAAGTCTGGCCTAGGTCCTGCCCATTCTCTACATGAACCGTGGAGGGGGAGGTCAGCTTTGTTTCAGCCTGGCCTGGACCTGAGGATGGCCAAGGTGAAGGCCATGAAGCAGTGGGAAGCCCGCCTGACCATCACCACAGCATTGTCTGTGTTTGACAGAGAAGTTCTCAGGAAGGCCGTAGAGGTGCTTCCTGGGGGAGGTAACATTAAGCCGCTGGGTCAGAAAGGGTCGGCAGGAGGCTGTCCCTCTAGACCCAGGGGTTCACCCGTGAGGAAACCAGCCACAACTCGAGATCCCAAGTCAAGACTGGTGTGGGGCTGGACTGGTGGGCAGGGTCCTGGCCAGGCCGGCCTACGGGGCGGGGAAGCCCCAGGGAGCTGCAGGGTGGGACCAGGCTCTGGGCTCTGGGACCCAAGAGGGCTCATGTCTGAGGTGCTGGAGCCCCAGGGAGTTGAGCGAGGCACGGTTTGCCGCAAGCTGTTGGGGGCAAGTGGGCCGCGATGTGGGGGCAGGTGGGCATCGAAGGAGCCTCCTTGGAGTGGAGGCAGCAGGGGGCTGTGGGGGGCGCCCGACGGGAGTGAGGTGGGCACGCAGCTCAGGGCCTTGTGGCCACACTCTCTCTACAGCCCTGTTACAGAAATACTTGGACAACTATGATCTGAGCATCAGGGTCATCTACGTGCTGGGGACTCTGGGCTTCTCCATCGGCACAGCCGTGATGGCCATGTTCGCCAACGTCTATGTTGCCATGATCATGATCAGCACCATGGGCATAGTCTCCATGAGCATCTCCTACTGCCCCTACGCCCTGCTTGGGCAGTACCATGACATCAAGGAGGTGCGTCCGTGGCTGGGGGGCGGGGAACAGTGGATGAAGTGCTGGGGCACGAGGTCACCAGCCCAAAATGTACATCAGGTCAGATCATCAGACCCATCTGGCTCCAAAGCCCGTGTTCTTCTCCACTCATCTCGAGGCAGAGCTCTGTACCTTCCACTTGGGGGACATTTGGGGTGATCCCCCTAGATCTTTGGTTCTGAAGGGACCAACAGAGCCACCACCTGCCTGGGTCAGTCTGAGGCCCAGGCTTCCTGGCTGCAAGGCTCTGTACCTTCAGTGGCCTGGGCCACTGGTACCTGCCTGGAGGCTTCAGTTGCATCTTGAGGGATTTTGGTTGGGCACCTGGGAGGCTCCCTGCCCCCTATTGTCCCCTCGTAGACCCCTGAGGACTGCCAGCACTGTCCTGTCCAGTTGAGCGTGAGGCACCTGGGTCAGTCTATGCTTTGAGTACCTACATTTAAAGAGAGAGTAGACAGGTGAAATCACTTTAATGGTGTATTTTGTTTATCGCAGTACATCCAAAACACCCATTATTTCAACACATTCAGTAGAAAATATTGATTATTCTCCCCAAGCCCTGAAATGAGGGTGTATCTTATACCTACGGTTCCTCTCGACTCAGACCAGCCATCTTTCAAAGTGCTTAGTAGCCACAGTGCGGATGTAGACCGTGGTTCTCAAGCTTCAAACACAGACCCTAAAAGGAAAGGAAGAAACCCAAAAAAGCTCGGATTTCTTTCTTCCTAAACCTAAACTATGTTTAATCTTTCCTTGCACAATTATAGAAGCAAAGTAAATCCACTGTGATTAGGTTCCTATCAAATACCAAACTAACGAAAATCCAAAGAACAGCGTTATTTTTTTAATAAGCTTTTTAGTTGGAGCATAATATGACTACAAGAAAAGTACACAAACTGTAAGTGATGAAGAGCTTAGTGGATTTTTGGAAAACAAACTGGAAAAGCTAATGCAGACCCAGAAACAACAGAAAGCTGGGCCTCATCCTAACCTCTGCCCCTGTGTAGTCATCCTGCCAGTGTTTGAACCTTATGCGACTGGAATATCTGCTTTGACTTCACGCCTGTGCTTACGGAGGGCGGCGGTTCTTCCTTCCCTTTCGTCTCTCACCATCTGGCCACAGTCTGTGCTCCGTGCTGCTGGCGCTGGCATTGGGTGGCGCCCTTGTTTCTGGTCGCCCTGTCCTCTCTTCCACTGGCTGGTCTGTCCTCAGACCAGTGTTCTACTCTTCTGAGTAGCTTCGTAGTAAGACCCGACACCTGGTGCTGTGTGTCCTTCAACTGTGGTGTTCGTTACGATTGTCCTGGGTATTCTTGACGGTTTACTTTTCATCTAAATGTTAGATCGGTTTCTAGGCTTTTGCATTGGAAACACATTGATGAAATAGATCAATTTGGGGAGAGTTATAAACTTTATAGTACTGAGCCTTTCAACCCATACATATGGTGTATTCTTCTGTTAATTCTTACAGCGTATCTGTGGATTCTTTTGGACATCCACAATCACATTATCCGTGTATAATGAGATTTATTTTTTCTTTTCCAATCCTTAATACATCTTACTTACTTTCCTTGCCTTCTTGCAATGGCCAGAATCTCCAATACAATGTTGAATAGAAGTGGGACGGGGTCAGGGGACAGGCTGAGTGGAAGGCAAGTTTTGTGTCCAGACTTCTGAGCTAATATTCGAACCACGGGGACGTTGACTGACGGCTCAGCCCCCCCCCCCCCCCCCGCCCGGCCCTCACGCTTGTGCTCTCTTCTCTTGCAGTATGTGCACCACAGCCCCGGGAACTCCAAGCGCGGCTTTGGCATAGACTGCGCAATCCTCTCCTGCCAAGTGTACATCTCCCAGATCCTGGTGGCGTCCGCCCTCGGGGGCGTGGTGGACGCCGTTGGGAGCGTGCGTGTCATTCCCGTGGTGGCCTCCGTGGGCTCTTTCTTGGGCTTCCTGACAGCCACGTTCCTGGTGATCTACCCGGAGGTGTCTGAGGAGGCCAAGGAGGAGCAGAAAGGCCTGTCGCGCCAGCCGTCAGGTGACGGCGGGGACGGCAGCCAGAAGCCCACCGTGCTGACGCTGTCCCGGAAGCAGGGCCTGCAGGGGCTGGTGGAGACAGAGTCCATGGTCTGAGCCTCGCCCCTGTGCACACACATTCCGGGGGGGGGGGGGGGGGGGGGGGGTGGGCAGGGGTGGTCACTGTTGGCTTTGGTGGCAGCACAAAGCAGAGTTCCTTCACAACACGGGTGGGGGTGCGGTGGTCGTAGGGTAGGCCTGAGCCACTAGGCAAAAACACCACACTAACTACTCTTTCCACAATTAAATCATTTGAAATATTTTTTTTTAATTGAAAAGGATCTTCTAATTTCAACTCTTTTATTCCGCAGGTATATTACTCTGCATGTTTTTTAAAATTACAAGTCAGATTTACAATAGACACAGGCAATTTAGAGAAAAGTAAGATTTTCATTTCCAAGGTTATAATTGGAAACAGAAGTATGTGCTGTCCTTCGTGTAGCCGGTGACTGAACCTTTCCACGCCTCTCTGGACGCCTGCAGGCGTTGGGACTTCCTGTCAGATCTCACGTTTTGTTGGTGCTGCAGTCACTGGAGAGTATTTTTCTTTATTGTTATTTTAGAAAACAATGTTTTTTCTTTCAAAACTGGTTTCCTTAGAAGAAACAGCGTTTCTTCTTTTTCCTCAGAGATTCTGACAGATGGCGTGAGCGGCAGGCCCGCCTCTGGGCAGCAGGAGGCGGCAGCCGCACCCCCACCCACAGGGAGGCAGGGCCCCAGGGACCCCGTGGGCGGGAGAGGGTGATCGGAGGGTGACCCACGGGGACGGCGGGCTGGGACGGGCACCCGCGGCGGGCAGCGTCCCAACTGGCAGATGGGCCCCCCCCCCCCGGTAGGCGGGCGCGCGTGTCCATGCCCAGACCCCCGACCCCGTCATCTTTGTCCGAAGCTCCCCAGAGCGGTGGTGGACTCTTTCATTGCACTTTGACTCGTGTTTCAACCATTTGTTGGGGAAATCATGAGGGCAGAGCTCCAGGCGTGGCCTTGCCCCCTGGGTCCTGCCACCAGGCCTACCTCGGGTGTGTGGGGCGCGGCCCCGGCGCGTGTGAACTCCTCATGCTGGGACTCTACTGACCTCTTCTGACCTCTTCGCCTGCTCCTCTCGCGCGACTCTGGAACCGGAGCAGTGGCAAAGTGAAGCAAGTGTCTGGGCCCAAAGGAAGGTCCACTCCCCCAGAGGACTCTGGCGGTGTTTTCTGCTTCCAGCGTCTAAGCCAAACCCGGACTTTGGGGAAAGTACAGTCACGAAATGCTGCAGCTACTTGGGAATGCTTTCCAAACCACAGTCTCTTTATAACTGAGCAGTTTCTGCTTTTCTTACTTGGAATGGTCAGTCTAAGCTTCCTGGTGTCACCTGGACACAGACAATGGTAATACTTCGCTGCCTCAAGTTGTTTTTTAAATAAAGAACTTTAGGATGCATGAACAATCATGCTGCAATATGATCATTCTAAAGCAAATATATATGCATACATATATATATATATATATATTTCAAGATGAGACTAAGCAGTTTTTAAATAAATTACTTGAATTTTCTGTGTATCCCAAGGACTGGCTGTCTAGTGTACTTGGCCAGCCTCTGGCCGCGCCGTGTCTCCCGGCCGCTGGTGGCGCGCTGTGCAGGCCGTGTTTGTGTCTTAGGACCAGCGGGGCCCGTCCACTCAGGAGCCCAGGACCTCGGAGGGCCGGCACCAGGACGCTAGCGTTCTCCGCGTGTTCACGCGTGAGGCTGGCCTCGTGAATGTGGACCTTGGACAGGGAGAGTCTGTCCTGCTCCTGGAAGCGCTGGCTGGCCTGGGCACGAAGCCCCAGCTTCCTGCGCCAGCCAGGCTGGGCACCCTGGGCAGGTCCCTGTATCCAGTTCACCCCAGCCCCCTGACAGCTTTGCGGCCCTGGGTCCCCCTGCTTTGGTTCTCAGGGCCCCAGGAGGGGCCTCCAGGGCACAGCCTCCATCTAGCCAGCCTGCTCCGTAGGGGTCTCCCTGTGGCCAGAAAAGTGGGAAAAGTGGGCGGCAGGAGAGCGGACTATGCGGGTGGTGGTGGAACAGTCCCGAATCCAGACGTGACGTGAACGAGCGTTTGCCTCTGGGCCACCCACCTCCCTCCAGGGCCGGACGCACGAGGCCTGGCTGGGACTCGGCGTTTAGGCACAAGGAGCTTACGGTGGGACCCCTGTCATCAAAGCGTGTTAGCCCTTGACGTCCCAGCCTCTTCCACTTCACCCTGCTCTGAAATACCAAGGAGCCCAGGAGACACGTGGCTGAGGCTCCCTGTTAGAAGAGGAACAGTGCACCCCTCCCAGGACCAGCCGGCCTGGGCTGGGGGTGCTCCAGTAGCTGTCTAACGTGGATGTTTATGACCAGTCTTCCTCCCTCTGTAGGTCTGGTCTCGCAGACCTACGAGGAGAGGGAGGAGGTGCCTTGTGGTTTGGATCAGAGTCGGTCTCCGGAGCTGCCTTCCTGGGCCCTCGTCCCGGGTGTGAGCACAGAGGGGCACCTCTGCCCACCCTCGAAGTGACATGTCAGGATCGCACTGTGTGTGCACCAGTGTCTTAAGAGCCGTGAGGAGGAGCCGGCCGTGGGCACAGCGTGGTTGCGCTCTGTGGCTCAGCGGAGGGTGGGAGGCGGTGTTCTCTAATGCGGTAGCTCAGGTGGGCCCCAGGGGGACGGAGGAGAATGTCCCAGAGCAGGCCATCTTTGGCCTGGTGGTGGAGAGTTCTCTGACAGGCCCACGCGTGCCCGCTGGGTGGGCTGGCAGGTGTCGATGCCCGGGACAGGGGTCCTGGGGTTTGTGGGCCTAGGTCCGTGGGCTGGGAGTGTGGCCGGCAGTTGGTTTACTGTGTAGTATAAATGGGCTGCTTACCAAAACAGGGTAATGTGGGTCTGATTGGCACTTTTGTTCCCTATAAAAGTCAACGAAGTAAAAAATCAAGGAGATGACTCGAACCCGTGCAGCCGAAGTCTGGACTGTGCTGGAGCCGGGGTGGGGAGGTGGGCGGGCGTCTCAGCTGGCAGCCTCTGTGGCCCCCGCCCAGAGGCGCTCAGGTGTGTTCCTTAAAGGTACCAGTGTGGGGGGAAGTGGGTCTCTGACCCCCAAATCCCCAAAGGGCAACCGGCGTGTGGGGCTGCAGGAAGCAGGAGGCGGAGGGGAGCTGAGCTCAGGCTGAGGGGCGGGGCTTCCTGTCCATCCCCCGCCCCCCCCCCCCCCCCCCCCCCCGGGGTGGCACAGCCTGGCAGCCTGTGACGGCTAACGTGTGTGTCTGACGACTCGAGGAGGTGCTGACTGTTCCCTTCGGGGTCTGATGGCGCCTGTGGCAGCTGGAGTTGGCGGCACCTGTCACTGACCAAGTTTGTAAAACACCCGCAGTTCACAGCTGACCCGCACGCGCTTCGCCAGAGACACTGACCAGCTAACCCTCAGTGAGGGCGCTGGCAGCCAGTCCTCTTGGGAGGGCGCTGCTGGGGACAGACCCGTCTCCTTCGTGTTGTATCTGCGGGCATCCATCTCCCTGCCCGCTTCCGGGCCGCTTCCCGAGCACTCCTGGAGTGGGAGTGCGGCTGGAGGGGGACTCAGCCCAGCGCTCACCGGGAGTGGGGTCGATGCGGCCCATCTGGGGGCCCAGCCTCAAAGCTGCGCGTTACCTCCTCACGGGAAGCCAGCTGCCACCGTCCCGGCCCAAACCCCGAGTCTTGAGATGGCCCTTTGGACAGCCCATCCTCAGGAGCCGGCTCTTTCCACCGGGACCTCCGGCAGAGCTCAGTGCCCACCCCCCACCTGCTGAGTCCGCTGGCTCTCCCCTGGGCTGCTGGGGGCACGTCTCCTTGTGCCATGGACTGAGATGGTCTCTTGGTGGTGGAAGGACCCGTTTGTTGGAAATGCCTCTTGTTACGAGAGAAACTCCCCAGGCATCTCGGAGCAACACTAGTTCCATTGTGAACTGGCCACGGGACTTTTTTTTATCAACTTATTAAGTTGGGGCAGTATACTAGCTCTTGCTGATTTTAGCAACGATACAAGTGTGTGTTAAACACAATGTTTTATGAGGAAAGGGGATTATAAAGAAGAGTAATATCGCATATTAACTTTTTATATTAAGTGGTGCAAAGTGGCCTGATGTCTCTGTGTCTGTACGCGAGCCCTCGGTTGTGTTGTTTCTTTCCAGGTACACTGAGCTTGCGTGTCGGCCTCATTGTTGTGCACACGGTTGTTTGTGGGGCACTCCATCTCCACACCGAGGCCGGCCTGGCCTCCCCCCAGGGCCTCCCTGGGTCTGTTTTGCTGTAACTCTGTGGTTAAATCTTAATAAACCTTCCCTACCAGGTGACCACGTGGGTGTGTCTGAGTCACTTCCCCGCAGCCCCTCCCTGTGCCTTCCTGTGGCTGGGCTGGGGACCTGGGCCTGCCCTGCCCCCCCCCCCCCCCCCCCCCCCCCCCCCC